TCTCTTCTCAGGTAGCTGTAAGGAGTGGAAGTCTCTTATCCTTTTCAAGAAACAGAGCAAATATTTTTCTTCAGACAAAAGAGGGACCGTGCAATTGTTTCAGGCCCTTTGACTTCTGGCATCAGTCCAGCTTTCTCTTGTTTGAACTTTTAGTGTGTCTGGGTCCTTGGGAATTGATAGATAAGCTCTTTGGTAAGCTCAGACTTGAGTTTTTAGTTTTCTTGATAACTGGTATTTGTAGTAGCTCTTTCCTCTTCCGATTCCTGTAGGAACTTCAGGTCATATCACAGTTTTCTGAATCATACGATGTTTGTGACCTATATTTTCTTCCTCTTGAGTCACACAGGTTCAGAAGGTCAGATTTTTTTGGTATGAATTGGACTGCTGCTATTTTTACCACATTATAAGATTGTAAATGGTTTACTTATCTAATTTTTAAAGTGTATTTATTCTGAGAGAGAGAACGTTTGCGTGTGCGTTGGGGAGGGACAGAGAGAGAAAGAAGGAGAGAGAGAATCCCAAGGAGGCTTCATGCTGTCAGTGCAGGGCCCAATGCAGGGCTCGATCTCACTAACCCGCAAGATCATGACCTGAGCTGAAATCAAGAGTCAGATGCTTAACTGACTGAGCCACACAGGTGCCTCAAGATTATAAATGGTTTAAATGTATTTCTGTGAAAGTAGTTTTATGTCACACTCTTAAGACAAGGGCCCCTCAAAACTCATTAAAAAATTTTTTTTAATGTTTATTTTTGAGAGGGAGAGAGAGAGAGAGAGAGCCAGCAGGGGAGAGGCAGAGAGAGAGGGAGACACAGAATCCGAAGAAGGCCCTCGGCTCTGAGCTGTCATTGTAGAGCCTGATGCAGGGCTCAAACTCATGAATGGTGAGATCAGGACCTGAGCAGAAGTTGGATGCTTAACCGACTGAACCACCCAGGTGCCCCAAAATTCATTCCTTCTGAACTTCTCTGTATTAGGTAAAAGAATTATAGGCTCAAAAAAAAAAAAAAAAAAATTAGACTCAGTAAAGGATTAAGATGAACTAATGGGAACTGTATTTCTGGCACCTTCCTGGTTAATAATTATTCAGCTGTGTGGCGGTTTAACTTCCAGACTTTTGGTACTAAACCGTGAGTTGTTAGGGTCACCAGGTAGATTATTTCCTTCCAGTTACTTCATCCTTAGTTTATTCCGGAGGTTGGCCTGCAGAATGTTGACATGTTCAGTGTGTACATATTTATATCGTGCACTAATGAGGGATGAGAGCTGTCCCGTGAGGATATAGGCTAGAGTTTGTTCCTTCATCACTCCTTAGGGAACTCTGCTGTATCCGTCTAGGAACTTGGAGTTGTGTCTTTCTGTAGAGTCTTTCTGGCTTTTTACATTTTAATATGCCAGGGAGAAAACTCCTTTCAGCACAGGCTATAAATATTTTCCCTTCTGTCTGTGTTTGGATACGTCTAGTTGTATACTTTTCATATTGCAGCCATTTGTGAAATGTAAAAAGCCCATTGTTGTTTCACTTTTACAATAAGCATTTATTACTTTTTAAATTTAAAAACATTACCTCTTCTAATTACTAAGTCACTTATAGTCCCGCCACCTAAAGACAAGCATGGTTAGTTGTTTTTTTTTAATGTTTATTTATTTTTGAGAGAGAGAGAGAGAAAGAGAGAGTGTGAGGAGGGGAGGGCAGAGAGAGGGAGACACAGAATCCGACGCAGGCTCCAGGCCGTCAGCACAGAGCCTGATGCGGGGATCGAACCCACCAACTGTGAGATCGCGACCTGAGCGGAAGTTGGATGCTTAACCAACTGAGCCACCTAGGCGCCCTAGTATTTTTTTTTTTTTTTAATGTTTATTTATTTTTGAGAAGGAGAGATAGTGCATGAACAGGGGAGGGGCAGAGAGAGAGGGGGACAGAGGATCCAAAGTGGGCTCTGTGCTGACAGCAGCAAGCCCGATGTGGGGCTTAAACCCATGAACTGAGCTGTGAGACCTGAGCTGAAGTCACATGCTCAACTGACTGAGCTACCCAGGTGCCCTGGTTAGTATTTTTTTTATATATTTCTTTTGTATCACTGTTCTCCAAGATCTTTTTTTTTAACAAAATAGGGATCATACTATATGTGTAATTTTCTATTCTGCTTTTTTCACTGTATTTTTTCACGTCATTAAATATTTTAAAAATAAATTTTGGAGGCCCCTGGGTGGCACAGTTGGTTGAGTGTCTGATTCTTGATTTTGGCTTAGGCCATGATCTCATGGTTTGTGAGGTCGAGCTGACAGTGTGGATCCTGCTTGGGATTCTCTCTTCCCTTTTCCCTCTGCCCCTCCCCTGCTCACGAGCTCTCTTTTCTCTCTCTCTCTCTCTCAAAATAAATAAACATTAAGAAAAAGAATTTTAAAAATAGATTTTTGAGGCACCTGGGTGGCTCAGTCAGTTGGTTAAGTGTCCGACTCTTGATTTCAGTTTAGGTCATGATTTCGCAGTTTGTGAGTTCAAGCTCCTCATTGGGCTCTCACAGCTCAGAGCCTACTTGGGATTCTCTCTCTGCCCCTCCCCTGCTCTGTCTCTCTCTCTTTCTCTCTGTCTCTCAAAAATAAATAAATACACTTAAAAATTTTTTGAATAGGTAATGCATTTCAAAAATAAAAGTGACACAAAATGAAAACATTTGAGAAGTCTTATTTCCATATTTATCTCCATTCATTCTTTCCCTTTAGTCCCTAACGAGTGGCCATTAATTTCTTCTCTTATTCAAAAAGTTGCATTTTTATGCATATTGTTTTGTACTTTGCTTTTTCACCCCTATTAGCAATATTTTATTTTGGAGATTTCTTGTTATCAGTACCCAGAGAATCTTCCTTACTGTAGATTAGTCATCCAGTCCCCTTTTTACATCCACACTTTAGTTGTCCCCAGTTTTTTGCTGTTACAAACAATAAGACAGAAGTAGTAATTAAAGGGGAAAAAAAAAAAGGATTTGCTGTGCTTCAGTTATTAAGGAAAAGTTCTTTCCAAAGCAATGCCAGCTAGTAAATGTAGAAATAATGATGGAATTTGAGAATCTACATTTTTTTCAGCTCCTAAAGGAAATAATTCAAGAAGGAATCATCAGTGACTGCTAAATCATTAAGCAAAAAGTTGAGAAGGAACAGGATATTCAGTTGAGGCCAAATATTAACCACAGATGGCTGATTATAAAGGGGAGGGATGTACCTTTATAAAGAGAGCTCTGGCAGTTACAAACTCAACCAAGTGGTCATATTTTGCCAAATGATCACATAATTTTCCAAGTCCCACCAACTCAGACAGTCTGAGGATATGTGCCACCTGATAGGCTTCATTGTAGCAGGGGGTGGGGCTTGGGAGGGTGATACATAGATACTATCACCTGTGAAGCAGGTGCCAAAAATACTTCACCTAAATCTAATCAGTGTTTTAGATCTAACCTTCTATTTATAGTAAATGTGAGGGATAGAGAGGTAAGCTAAATGGCACTGTGAAGAAACAATCAGACAAAACTAGGATGTAAGACAGTCTCCAGGTACCTGTCCTGGGATTTTAAAAAGCTTGTGAATAAGTAAAGGTAAAACCAACCAAAGCAAAATTTGGAGGCCATTCTAGAATAAAAGAAACTAAGGAGATATAACATCCAAACTAATTGCTTGAGTTTTGATTGGATTTCTTTTTTTTTTTTTAAGGCAACTATTAAAGACATTTTTAAACAGTTGGGGACATTTGAATGAGGACTGAGTATTAGGTGATAATCAGTGTACCTGATGGTATTGTGGTTATGAAGTCAAACGTCCTTATTCCCTGCAGATGCACAGTAAGGTAGTTAGGGTTAAAGCATATTGATGCCTGATGAAATGGTGCAGAAAAAAATAAAACAACACATATATAGTGTGTCCATAGAGACAGATAAAGCAAATGTGACCAAATGTTAACAGTTCTTGAGTTTTAACTGGTGAATACTGTGTTTATTGTACTGTTTTTTCAACTTTTCTGCACATTTGAAATGTTCCATAACATTTGAAGAAACAGTGCTACAGTGAATAACATTTTACATGTATTCTTCTGAAATGCCATTTTATTGGACTGCATATTCCATTGTATAGAGGAGCCACAATTCTTTGTTGCGCATGTGTATATATATTTTGCTGCTAGTTGACCTTTTTTTTTTTTTTTTTTTTTTTTTTTTTTGTGGTGATAGTTTTATGCCCTTATGGCTTGTGGTGGATGAGAAAAAGGAACTGAATTTTTTTTCTTCTGTTTCCTCCTCTCTGTACTACTCTGGAACTTTTGTGGAAAAGAGAAAAGGAGAGTGAGAAAGATACCCCCAAAGTAGTCCTTATGCACATGCTTTTAGGGAGGAGATAAGAGTTGAGGCTGCTGCATAAGAACCAGCCCTCAAGTAATAAATAGCCTTTTAGAATTGGTTACCTGTTCTTTGGTTTGGAGGCTGCCCAAGTGATAAGGGGGGGGTGGGGGGTGGGGAGAAGCTGGTGACTAAGGAGGCAGTGTGGCCCAGAAGGGGAGGGCAGGTGCTGTGTTTTGTTTTTTGTTTTTGACAGGGTTTTAGACCTTATTTATTTTTATGTGTAACAAAAGTTCTTATCTGATAAAATAATAACAGAGTAACTGCTTTAGAGAATGGCTTATTCTTTAGATATAAGGCTGATCTATTGATGATATGAAAGGAATTTAAGGATGAAATATTTTTGGAAAAAAAGTTCTGGGAGAGGGGTCTTTTCCTGAGAAAGTGTCATTAAATTAAAACACAAAACTTTCCTCTTTGAGCTAGAATCATGTTTTCAGTGGGAAGCTTCTCTGATTGCAGAATAGATATTCTTTAATTTAATGTCCATCCTTTAGATTTCCATGAAGACAACTTACAAGGACCTGAATGGCTTCAATTTAGCTGCATCAGCTTGTGGAGCTATTGCTTGCTCCTTCACTTCCTGTGCCTGGTGTGACAGTGGCTACTGAACGCCATGAAGGTTGTTCCAGAGAAGAATGCTGTCCGGATACTCTGGGGGCGAGAACGGGGCACTCGGGCCTTTGGAGCTCAGCGGCTTCTGCAGGAGCTGGTGGAAGATAAAACCCGGTGGATGAAATGGGAAGGCAAGGTGGGAACAATGGATATTTTTGACATAAGATTTTTAGGGGTAGAATGGGGTAAGATTTTTAGGACAGTAGAGTGGGGTTTTAGAATGGGCTAATTATGTAGAGTTGGGATACCATTTATTTTGTGTGAGAGAATTGATATATCTAACCTACAGAGTTTTAAAAATAAATTTGGAAGAATTCATGGGCTAGAAATATCTTTTGTCTTTAGAACTAGACATTTTTCTTAAAGGTAATTTGGATTTCTCTTTCAATTTGTGACTTTGATCACTGTTTCCAGTGTTTCAGCTTATACTGAATACTGATCTACTGTGGTTCATGTGCTTTTGAGATAGAGTGGGTCATAGTTTATAAATAATGTGTTTTAATTTTTTTTTTTTTTTTGGTTTGTTTTTCAGAGAGTAGAACTGCCTGATAGTCCACGCTCTACATTCTTACTGGCCTTCAGCCCAGACAGGTACCTAGTACTTACCTATAACTTAACCTAAGACTTGTGATAGCATTGCTTTATGTATATTTGGTCTAGCTTGGTCTTCCAAGTTACAGCCCTAAGGGTTCTTTGAAACATTGCTTGAATAGAGCTTTGCCAGTGTATCAGAAGGGGAAAGAAGGTAGATGAGCTGTGCTATCCATAGAAATAATAGGAATAAGCAAAGGAAACAACAGACATTGAGGATCAAAACTTGGGAAGTTTCTCAATTATAATCCTTTGCCTGTGTGATATAGGCCACTGATGGAGTGATCATTTTCCTACTTGGAAAAAAATATTCTCTGAAGGGGATGTGTGGAGAAGCCAGAGCTTTCAAAGATCAGAATATTTCGGTTGTTTGTAATGCCTGAGGTGTAGTTTTTTCACGCTAGGGTGGAGAATATTCCAAAGCCAATTGTCCAGAACTGAGAAGGTTGGTTACCCTCCTGTGTGCTTCACATTCACATCCTACTCTTCAATTCTCTAGGACTCTGTTGGCCTCCACCCACGTGAACCATAATATCTATATTACGGAGGTGAAGACTGGCAAGTGTGTTCATTCTCTGATTGGACACCGCCGCACTCCGTGGTGTGTCACTTTTCATCCCACCATCTCAGGCCTTATTGCTTCTGGCTGCCTGGATGGGGAGGTTAGGATTTGGGATTTGCATGTAAGTATTTCCATTTCTTTGATACTCTAAATGCAGGGAGTTGTTTACCATTGAGTTCTTAACTGGAGGAGAAACTAGCTAGGTTCTTAGGACTACATGTGAGTAAGTGGTAGTCACTGCCCACTTAAGTAATAGGAATAATATTCCTCCATTCTAAGGTGAACACCCTGTTTAACTGTTTTTCCATCTGCCCATTGTGACATAGTATAGGAGGTTCTAAAACGTGTTCGGGATAGATGCCTTTTGTTTTAGAGCGAGGATTGTATTATATTCTGATCATGATCACCAAAGCAATATGCTTCTTGACTTGCTAGTGGTTTTTTGTTTACCATGTCACGCACCAGGCTTGCGTTTTCACAGGCCTCAGAAACAGGAATTGTGTGGATACTCATTGCTTTGGATTATAGGTGACTTGGGAGAACTGAGCTGACAGTAATAATTTTCTGATAAATTGGTGACACTGCCAGATCACTGATTTTCTACATTTTACAGAGGACATATTTAAAGTAGGCTATACAAGTGGTCATTTTACCTTAAATGGTCCTTTTTTTTTTTTTTTTTTTTTTTTTTTTTTTTTTTTTTTTTTGAAATTGACATCCTAATCTCCTGCTAGTTTGTAACCGGAGACTATTTGGGATTGGTTCATTTATAGGGTGGCAGTGAAAGCTGGTTCACAGATAGCAACAATGCCATTGCTTCCCTGGCTTTCCACCCTACGGCTCAGCTCCTGCTGATTGCCACTGCCAATGAGATCCACTTTTGGGACTGGAGTCGACGGGAGCCCTTTGCTGTGGTGAAGACAGCTAGCGAGATGGAACGGGTCCGGTGAGTGCTCTGCCCACTAGTGATGTTTGGCATAGGACTCACATGGCAGAGAGCATTTACACTTGCTGTCACCTCAGGAAGCAGTTTGTTACGCCTGTTCAGAGCAGGGGGTTATCTGTAAGGCTCCTCCTACTTTTTAAGTTGCTGGCCAATCAACAGTTCATTTTAGCTGTTCCTTATTGCCCTCCTCTTCTGGGCTCTGTAGACCAGGGTTGTTAGAAGGTCTTTCAGGTTCAAAGCTATCTGGACTTGGGGTAGAGCCCTTTTTTGTGTGTGGGGGGGAGGAACACCTGAAAGTTGTTCAGGTAGAGGTTAGCTTGGTAGGTAGTTGCTAGCCCCAGTTGTCTGTGTTTATCAAACTGGAAAATGGAGATGTAAATATGTATCAAATCTGCTGTGGATATTTAGCCCCCAAGATCAAAACACACATTGCCTGAATTAAATACAGATGATGCATTGGTTTCTTTGGTCCTCTTGATATTGTAGCTGGATATAAGAAAATTTTCTGGTCTCAGCCACTTGATGCTAAGACAGTTCACTGTCACACGACCCCTGCTCCTTGCCAGTGGAGCTGCTGCATGAGGGAAGAAGTAACCCTGTGGCAGAGTTTGGGAGTGTCCTGTGTTTTACTGTGATGATAGGTTCTTAGATATGAGCCAGTATGTGCTTGATGTAGTTGCTTCTTGGGATGAGAGCCTAGGTGCTTTTTGAAATTATTTTTGTGATACATATTCCCCTATTCTGGCAAATGTGAGGAGGTAACAAGAAGTATTGAACTTTATTATTTTAATCTGTTTGAAAGTTTTGAAAGCTTCCAGCATGAAGTGGATACCTGGGTAATCCCACAGTTATTAGTAATGATTGCTATAAATTTGAACACAGGCTTCCTCTTCTCAATTAACATCTATGTGTGTCTTTTTCTTCTTCTGTGTTTTCAGTCTGGTGAGATTTGACCCTCTTGGACACTACTTACTCACGGCAATTGTTAACCCCTCTAATCAGCAGGTAAGTTAGCAGTTCCAACTGCATCTCAACTGTGGGTTGTTTTCTAAACTAGTGCTCCAGTTCTGATTATTTGGACTTGTCATTTGTAACGGCCAGGTGCTTCTTTTCTAGTTGAAATTCAAAGCTAGTTTCAGACTGTGTGCTCAGAGTTATAGCCATAATCTTGACAGGGGAGTCAGTTCTGAAACCCCCAGGTGATTGCCTCATTAGAGTCACCAGGCTGTGTTGGATAGCTTGTCATTCATGTGCCTTGGGCTGGTTGACATTTTCTTCCCCTCATTGCTTCCGTCATAGAGATGCATTTTGTAATAGAATTGGCTTGCCAGCTGTACTCATTCAGAAATGTTGCTAATCGGAAATGAATAATGTGACACCATATGACGATTCTGAATCTGAAGCCAGTTAGTCCTCAGTGCTTCCTAGGTAGAGTTGTTGTCTATCCATGAAGGTTGTTTTTTGCGGATGGTTATCAACAGTTAATCTTTCTTAATTTACCTGGAGGTTCTACCTAACCGCCTTGCTCTACCCCTGCCCCGCCTTGCTCCACATCGCAGGGTGATGACGAACCAGAGATCCCCATAGACGGAACAGAGTTATCCCACTACCGTCAGCGTGCCCTGCTGCAATCACAGCCAGTTCGCCGGACGCCTCTCCTCCACAATTTCCTGCACATGCTGTCCTCCCGCTCCTCTGGCATCCAGGTGGGAGAGCAAAGCACAGTGCAAGAGTCTGCTACCCCCTCACCCCCACCGCCTCCCCCTCAGCCCTCCACGGAGCGCCCCAGGACTTCCGCTTACATCAGGCTCCGACAGCGGGTCAGTTACCCCACAGCTGAGTGCTGCCAGCACCTTGGGATCCTGTGCCTTTGCAGCCGCTGCTCTGGCACTCGAGTTCCTTCCCTCTTGCCACACCAGGACAGTGTTCCCCCTGCTTCTGCCAGGGCTACTACCCCTTCCTTTTCTTTTGTACAGACCGAGCCCTTCCATCCCCCGGAGCAGGCCTCGTCAACGCAGCAGGACCAGGGCCTCCTGAACCGGCCGTCTGCCTTCAGTACAGTCCAGAGCAGCACTGCCGGCAACACGCTCCGCAACCTCAGTCTGGGTCCCACCCGTCGCTCTTTGGGAGGCCCTTTGTCCAGCCACCCCTCTAGGTATCACCGAGAAATAGCTCCCGGGCTGACAGGGTCCGAGTGGACCCGGACAGTGCTCAGTCTGAACTCCCGCTCTGAGGCAGAATCCATGCCTCCGCCCAGGACCAGTGCCTCTTCGGTGAGTTTGCTGTCTGTGCTGAGACAGCAAGAAGGTGGCTCTCAGGCATCTGTGTACACTTCAGCCACAGAAGGGAGGGGTTTTCCAGCTTCAGGGTTGGCAGCTGAGTCAGATGGAGGAAATGGCTCCAGCCAAAACAACTCAGGCAGCATTCGCCATGAGCTTCAATGTGACCTGAGACGCTTCTTTCTGGAGTATGACCGGCTTCAGGAGCTGGACCACAGCCTGAGCGGGGAAGCCCCCCAGACCCAACAGGCCCAGGAAATGCTCAATAACAACATTGAGTCCGAGAGGCCAGGCCCCTCCCACCAGCCCACCCCACACAGCAGCGAGAACAACTCCAACCTGTCTCGTGGCCACCTGAACCGTTGCCGCGCCTGCCACAATCTCCTGACCTTCAACAACGACACCCTGCGCTGGGAAAGAACCACACCCAACTACTCCTCTAGTGAGGCCAGCTCCTCCTGGCAGGTCCCCAGCACCTTCGAGGGCATGCCATCAAGTGGCAGCCAGTTGCCACCCCTTGAGCGGACTGAGGGCCAAACGCCCAGCTCCAGCAGGCTGGAGTTGAGCAGCTCTGCTAGTCCGCAGGAGGAGAGGACTGTGGGGGTGGCCTTCAACCAGGAGACGGGCCACTGGGAAAGAATTTACACCCAGTCCAGCAGATCTGGAACTGTAACACAGGAGGCCTTACATCAGGATATGCCTGAGGAGAGCTCCGAGGAAGATTCACTCAGGAGGTAAGCAGGTGCTTTCTTGTCTTCTCCTGTATCCCTTACTTTTCTCCCTCTGTCTCTTCCTTCAGTCCTGTAGATGTTGTGGCTGGATCTGGAGTGTCTGGGACCCATACATCTGGTTCTGGTCTCCCTAAGGTCCATTGCATCTTCCTGGAAAACTTGCTCTGGTGGCAGAGATAGGATGGGGCCTAGCAGTCTAAGTCACTTGGCTCTGCTAAGTTCATGAGACCTTTAGCCTAAAGGAGAGTGCAGATCAGGATAGGGATGTAAATGGAGGTGGAGCCATTGACTTCCTCTGCCCTGTTCTTTGACCTTCTTGGAGGATTGTATGTGCAGCGCTGGTTATTGTGGAAAAAGAAAATGGTCCACAGTGCTTAGAAATAGGTAGTAAAAGAGAACCTGCTTGGTACAGATTAGTGTATTGGCTTTTTTTTTCAGTTGTGTCTCTTTGGACAACTGTGTTCACCTTCTGGAGCATTGCAACTTGACAAAGGAAAAAGAAAATAATATGTGTATATATGTGTTGAGGAAAGTCTGCTTTAGAGATAACATATTTTTTGGATAGCAAGTTAGTTGCTTAATTAAGATTCTTTGAGGAGATCTTCCAGATGGACATTCACCTCAAGGTGGGGAAGAAGAATAATTCACGGAAGGAAGGCCTCTCCATACTCAGATCGGCATCCCAGGCAACTCTTCCATGGAAGAAACAGAGTGGGTGTAGTTACCCGCCCACCACATGTTCCATGTATGGCTATGTGAGCATCTATCTTGATTTATTAGGGACTTCTTTCTGTAATTCTGTAAAGGTCACATCTAGCGTAATCACCAACTCCCAGAATATGCCTGTTGGATCCAAACAGCATATTGCTTTGCATTACATCCTCTGTTGAAGCAACTGAAATTTCTGACATAAGCTTCTAACAAGGGTGGGAATATGGATTGTGCACATAATGTACTTGTTATTTTGGGAGAATGCTTTAGAGAGTTACCCAGTTAATAAGTATTTGTTGAATGGTTACAATTTTTCCAGCACTGTGCCAGGCACTGTAGGGAATACAAAAGAAGTATAATACCTGGTCTTTACCCACTGGGGGTATTAATTATAGAGGCAAGACTTATTTACATACAATTATATAAAAAATGTAGATGACCCAAATGCTTCATTGTGTGGTACTCAGATTAAATGCAGTCTCATTTCACAGAAAGGGAAGTACCATCAAAGAAGGCTGTACAAAACCAAGCCTTGAAAGATGACTAGGATTTGGAAAGGGAAAGACCTTTTTACTTTAGGGGACCAGCAGATTATAAGGCAGGAAAGAGCATGTTGAATGCCAGATAGTAGGTGGTTACTAGGGGGTAGTTGCTAAGGGGAAGATAGGGACACTTGGTTGGATATGAAAGATAGACTAATAGAAGCTGTTACTATGCTTAAATAATTGACACCAGTTCTGAGTTAACATCTCCTAAATTCCCAGCTTTGAAATATTTTGCCTTGCTCAGAGGAGCCTGAGACTGTTACTCCTCTTTGTCAAGAGAGGTGGGAAGGGAGCAAGCACAGTGCCTGACGTAGAGCAGGCATACAAAAAGTTTGTGAAAGGTAGCTGTAAAAGGACTGTCTTCAGTTACTGCTCTAAAAGTAACTGAAGTTACTACAAGTGCCTGTCTCCACAGTACCAGTGGGCCTCTGGTCATCCTTTGTCCATTCAATTGTAGCAGTGCCTTTTCATGTGTTATTGTTCGGAGAAATACCTGAGTGGTTTAAAATAAACTCTACTGTTTGATAATAATTAGAGACACCAATTACTGAGGGTCACTGTATATTAGGTACTGTGTCTGGTGCTGTGTCTTTGTATTAACTTTAATTTCCACCATAACTCTGTGCAAGGCAGGTGTTAAATTTCTCATCTTACAGCTGAGATAAGTAAGGCTCAGAGAAGTCAAGTTTCTCGTTAAAGATCTATGAGTAGTTTGCTGAGTGGGGATTTGCATTCTGGTGTGTGTGACTAAAGATTTTTCTAAACCGTCGTCCGTGGTATGTTCCTTACTGTGATACCTCATTTTTAGGTGAACCATTTTTCTTTTCCTTTAACTTTTTATTATGATAATCTTCAAACATATAAAAATGAAAAGTATAATAAATTTCATATACATATCACCTGACTTTAAAAATTATCAACACTTGGCCAGCTTTCATTCATTTATATGCCCTCTTTGTATAAGTGCATCTGAAAATAATATGTTTCTCTAGAGAAATGCCATCCAATAAAACTCTCTACAGTGATAGAAGCGTTTTGTATCTGTGCTGTCCAGTGTGGTAGGCACTAGTTACATATGGCTAGTGTGAGCTGAGGAACTATGTTTAAATTTTTAAATTTTAGTGAAATGTAAATAGTCACATGTGACTAAAATGTTAATAACTTCTTGATAAAGTAGACCATTTAAAACCCAGAATCTATGTATTTTAAATTAAAAAGTTCAAACATTTAAAATTGTATGTTGTAGGGGCGCCTGGGTGGCTCAGTCAGTTAAGCGTCTGATTTCAGCTCAGGTCTCCATCTCGCGGTCCGTGAGTTCGAGCCCTGCCACGGGCTCTGGGCTGATGGCTCGGAGCCTGGAGCCTGCTTCCGATTCGGTGTCTCCCTCTCTCTCTGCCCCTTCCCCGTTCATGCTCTGTCTCTCTCTGTCTCAAAAATAAATAAACGTTAAAAAAAAAAAAATTAAAAAAAATAAAATAAAATAAAATTGTATGTTGTAGTAAATGAAATCCCTTGTCATCTTGCTGTGAACAATTGTGCATGTATATTTTTTCTTTTAAAATATGTAAATAATACATGGTTTTATTGTAAAATACAGTAGTTACGTTATTTATGGAGTCGCTTAAGATGAGCCAGGATGAAATGCACTGTGAAGGCTGACAGCCTGCTCAAAAGTGAGGTACATTTGTAGAATGTTCCAAGTGCACACCCTTTACAGAAGGGGCATCACTTCCCCGTAATTTGAGTGGCTGCCTTGTAGTGTAAATTACTAATACATACAGGTGCTAATTAGCCCCTTCTGCCACCTTCAAAAGGAACCGGATGTTCTCTAGCTGATGAGCCAGCCCTTGCTTTTATTTCCCCAGCAGGTGTCACTGTTGGGCTGTTGCTGCTGCTCGGCTAGGCTGGCTGGCAAGAAAGGTGTCCTTGTTGTGTGCCTAGACTACTTGAAGGGAGAGGGTTTATTCATTTGACTTTGTAGTGGGAGATAGACTAAAGAGGCATATTTTGATCCTCGGTGCTGCTGATTTAATTCATAGTGTTTGCAAATAGCGAGAATATTAAGCACAAGAGTATATTTCAGTATAGCTGTATGTTGCTGAGCTGTATTAACCAGTTCATGGTTTGTCTCTTTTTGCCCACGGGCAGTAGAAGGCAAGCTGTCTGTGTAGTCCTGACTCCAGCATACAACTTGTAACTTGAGTGGCAGGCCCTTTCCTCACCACCAGAAACTTTTTGGGTCTCATAGCCCAGAATCTAGCAGATCAGGGTTTTGTGGCTCCCTGCAGCTTACAGCAGGAGTCCCTATGAGTTTGAAAGGCTGGTATTAGGAAAAAGAGAAAAGTATTTACATGGCATCTTAAAACTGGAGAAACCCTAGAGGTTATTTAGTCCAGATTTTTTTTTTGTTGTTTTGTTTTTAATGAGAAAACTTAGATGCAGAGAGGGAAAATGACTTTTTAAGAGGTGCTTATTGCAAAGGTAGATTCAAACCCCTAGGTCCTAAAGAGGGCACTCTTTCCTCCTCTTGAAATTAGTGCTTTCACATCAGTTTTCTCCATCAGAACCTCTGTTGCTCATGTAGATCATTGCCTGGGGGTGGGGGTGGGGGGCTCTTCAGTCAACTCTGTAAGAAATTGGAGGTCTGATAGATCATTTGTAATTATTGCCTCCAGGTAGAAATGTAATCAACACAGTATTTCTCGGGATACATGAGAAACAGTGTTTTAGTTATTTGTCATAGAACTGCATTGATTAGTTTGTGGGTTTTTTTTTTTTTTTTAATGTTTGTTTATTTTGAGAGAGAGAACAGGAGCTTACGTACGCGGGAGAAGGGGCGAGAGAGAGAGAGAGAGAGAGAGAGAGAGAGAGAGAGAGAGAGAGAGAAAGAGAAAGAAAATGAGAATGAGAGAGAATGAGAGAGCATGAATGAATCCCAAGCAGGCTCTGCCCTGCCATCACAGAACCCATCCAGGGGCTCAACCTCACAAACATTGAGATCATGACCTGAGCCGAAATCAAGAGTTGGATGCTTAACTGACTGAGCCATCCAGGTACCCTTGATTAGTTTTTTTGAAGTCATCCCAGTTAAGGAAGCACTGTAAAAATCCCAACGAATGATGGGGGCTCCTGGGTGGCTCAGTTGGTTAAGTGCCCAACTCTTGGTTTCAGCTCAGGTCTTAGGGTCATGAGTTCAAGCCCGGTATTGGGCTCTGTGCTGAGTGTGAAGCCTGCTTTAAAAAAATAATCATCCCAACGAATGGGAGATCAAAATCTGACCTAATCCTCCTCAACTGAATTATTTCTGCATTCTTTATCCTGATAGGTGACAAGGCCTTTCGTCTGAAGTATTTAATAAGATTGAGTGTATTCTGAGAGCTGATGTCTTTTGATCTGCACTTTTCCCTTATCAAAGAAGATTGGGGAAATTTGGCCCAGAACATTGAAGGTTAGAGTTAGAAGCCCTCATTTGATTTCTCGGGTATTTTTAGACTTTTGTGAAGGAATTGCTTTGGAATTTGGTGAGGCTTTATGGGCCACCTAACTTGTGTGATGCCTCAGCTTTAGTCACATGGGGATTTTCCAGGGAGCTCTCAGCAGAAACATCATTGATGGAAGAAAATAAATGGATATATCTGCAAGGCTAGTCCTGGATCCACAAGAGGGTGACCTAGAAATTAGGAAAATACCAGTCTTTAAAGCTTCATCATAATATAGAGAGAGAGGTCCATCTTTAGTAGCTTTTCT